ATGTTCAAGTTAATTTATTCAAGTATTGTAGCAGGCCAGGGATTTTTAAATGGCTGCAAAAAAAATCAAATAAGTAGATAATCCACTAAAGAGTTTCTTTTTCTGCACAATAAGTAAAAAACATATCAACACATTGAAGATTAATTGAAAATATATCCTATAGCACTTGGCAAATGCAAAGTTTATACAAAGTTATGGAATTACACTTGGAAATTCACCATGTCTTGTGAATGTTTAGCACATCAGCTTCTCATTTCTTGCCATCATGATCACAAACAAGAAAATAACAAGATTAGGGTTTCTGCAGGAATTCCAGTCCACTGAGATGTAGCTAACAACACTCATAAAATAATGTAAAATAATTTACATTCCATGTGATGAGGAACTAATGAAATCAGATTAAAAGAGGGCAATCTGATTTAAAATAAGAAAGGAAATTGACAAACCTTGCAGTGTTTAGCATCAGTTAGCAATAAAAGTGATAGCGAGAATGAGGCAGCAAATAAGAAACTAAACAACAATGAAAAAGCTAGACCACAATGGATAATGCTTTATACAATCACTGCTTTTTGAATTGTTTGATGGTGTTTTCATTACCTCCTAATGACGACATGCCTCCTTTAATGAAGTATGCACAACAAAGTTTATTGAGACTAAGGTTTACTAAAGTGTACTGGCAGATCGTTTGAAAATACTACGTAATCTTGAAAGAAAACTTAGGGTGCCTGGACTTTCATTTCTGACCATGCATGCATCATGTAGTCTCCTCCAGGATGAAGGAAAATAAAGGCCAGACAAGGGAAGTGCTCAGTCTAAAAAAATCTTGTGAGTTTTCCACTGTCTGAGAGAAGAGAAGCAGCAGTCAAGAAAGGAAAGGTTTGTTTCACATTGGAGGGGAAAAGATCAGCTATTAAATCTGTGTAATACATAAACAAGAAGACTAAGGCGTAAACATTGAGAGTTCATAAGTCAAAAATACATTATTACATGTGGAGAATTACCATGACTCGTGGACATTGAATCAATGGGCACCCTTGAAATCATAAGTTACTATGGTATCTTATTTAATAACATTTCCATTATAAGAAAATACTTTAAAATATTTTCCTGTTCTTGGATAAGAGGCATTATTTTTGATAATGATAAACCTCCAAAAATATTGTTACTTGACAAATATTTAGGGATAAACATGATAAAATGAAGGTTGATATTTTCCCTGGCAAACTTGTAACAATCCCACAGTCTCCATTATCAAAATCACCAATTTCTCCATCTCTTACAATTTACCTTTCTTGGATTTGGCTCCGATCTTCAGCTTTGATGGCCAAGCAATCTGTGTATTTGTTTCCTCCATGATCTATAACAAAAATTGAGAGAAATATTGATTCAATTAAGAACTTATATTTACAGATAAGATTTTCTCAAAAAAATTATTTTCAAGCCCTATGTTGTTAAAACAAAACGTCTCATTTTAAAACAATGCAAAAAAAAAAAAGGGAAAAAAGAGATGCATTTTTACAAGCCTTTTTTCTATAAGAAATATTCAAGTATATTTTGTTACTCCCAGTGTTCCTCTCCATGATGCACCAGAATTTTAACTTAGAGACAAGACCAAAAAGTACATGAACAAGTAATTAACCCAAGTCAATGCCAGAACTGTCAGAGATGCCTGTGCTGAATAAAATTCCCCAAGACAATCGCCAGCGATTGCAACATACCAAACATAATCCTTGTAATACAAAACTACATGGGTTAGGCCATACTAAATGAAGATATTTGTTTTTGGGGAAAAAAATAATAAATTGCTTTGAGCACATTTGTATTTCATTAAAACTGATGAAAAGCCTCTAAACATGACATCATAGCATAAGGCTGCATTCCCATTATCCTTTGCCTGGTCCAAAATGGCATTTTTGCCACAGTTCTTTCCCATTTACAGGCAGCCAACACTGGCCAGAAGGACTGGGGACCCAAGTGTGCTGAAGCACAAACACAAGCGAGGGAAGCGAGACTGCAGCACAAAGGAAGCAGACGGTAAATAAGAAAAGAATGAGTCACCAAAATGTTCACTCTTTGTTCTTCTCCACTTTCATCCTGTGAATTAGACTGTTTGCTTTTGTTCCGCGAATACAGAATTCACCAAACTGATAGAGCAGATAACTAAAATTAAACAGGCAAAACCAGCAACTACTATATATTAACCACTTAAATTAGAGTAGGATAATATTTACTTTTTAATATGGATTTAGAGTTAAACTAATGGTGAAGACAAACACATTAACAGTGCGATTAATGAAAATTACCTTTCCTCAGTATGTTCTGGGCATAAGGCAAAATGGTTAACATGTTAACATGTACCATACTTCATTTAATCCTCTTTATCACACCATAAAAGGGCTTTCAGCAGCTGTTTCAGACTGGCAGCCCACAGATGCACTTTGTCTATCCATCACAAGGTTTTTTTCAGAAAAACACGAGCCAACATTATTAAATCTGGGAATTTCCCACAGAAATTCAGATTTCTGGTTCTCTGTAAAACTTGGCAGATTTAGCACTTGGAGCCCGCGTTCCTACATGGCCACATTTGGTTCGCACTGAGGAACAGATGCCTTCTCTAGTCAGGCCCAGAAGGCTCTGAGCTGCCCTCATCCCCCGCCCCGGCCCCACTGGGTCTCTGACACTGAGGTCGAGAACCACTTGCCATTATCACCATCATGTTTGTATGACTTCACTCGCCATTTATCATGGTGTTTGTACTACTGTAGAGAAATATTTCTCTATATCCATATACCAATAAAAAATAAAAAACAAAGGGAGGTCACATCATCTTTACTAATTCAAGGTTCTGGCCTGGCTCTAACAGCAGGTGAGTTTATTACCCCAAGCCTGTAAGACCTGGCCGTGCCTCTTCTCCTCCTATCTTATGCTGTCCTTGTTAATGTGTTTTGTTGTCTACACCATTAAACTGTTAACTCTAAACTATATTTTAAAATACAATAAATATTATCCTCCTCAACTTCCTCTGCTCCAGACTTGCTGGCCTCCCCAGAAACATGCCTGGCAAGCTCCCCATTCGGGGACTTTGCATTCACTCTCACTTCCTCAGCTGCCACCTTCCCCCAGTCACCCTCCCTCGCCCACTCTCACACCACCCCAAGATGGAAATTATTCTTCTCATCTTCTGCATTTCCTTTCTAAGCCTTATCACAATCTGAAATTCTCCTGTTTTCTGGTTTTACTTGTTTATAGTCTGTCTCTGAAAAATAAAATCCCTCTACCCTGCACACAGCAAGCAGAGGATATATATGGGTAAATGAATCTTCATAATCCTTATGAAGTAGATTTCTTTATTCATCACATGGCAGGAAGCAGCAGAATGGAATAAAAATCCCAGACTGCTTGGAACACCATACTTTTAACCACCACACGACATTGAACATAGGGCCTCAATCTTTTTAAAACATGTATATACCAATTTGGAATTTGCTTTAGGACTGATGCTACATCTTACAAATATTCATCAAAAGCCTACTTAAGTGCCACATATACCAGGATCCACAGCTATGAATAAGACAAAATTCCTGGTGTCCACAAGCTTACAGTCAAGTCAGGGACACAGACAAAACAAAAAATGCAACTGCCTGACAATGTGCTGGGAGCTGGCACAGGATCAGCTCACTAGAGCAGCTCGCAGGTCCTATCTTAAAAGGTCGGGGTGGGGGGTGGGTAGTTAGTAAAGGCTTCTCCAAAATATTATCTGCAGAATCACTCAAGTCCTGAAAGTCAAGTAAAAGTAAATTTATGAATGAGTTCATCAGTCCCCAAAGGAAGGCAGGAAGTCCCAATTAGGAGGGACTTTTCATTGGTCACCTTTAATCACCTATTAGTTCCAGCTACTATTCATACATATATCTTTGAAATGACTAAAATTAGATTTAGAATTTTCCTCTAAGTTAGCTAAGACAGCTAAAGAGATAAAAAGAAAAAATAAGATCTTACTATAATACTATTGGTGGGGAAGCAGTAAGAAAATTATATACTTTTCATTTTCTGAATTAAATAATTTGACCATTTAACCCAATAATTTATGTCAGGTGCTATAATTATTATGCTATAATAGAGAAGCTTCCCTATCAACATATGGTTGGAAGATATAACTTTCTGAAATCTTAATCATTTACAGAACTTCCCAGAAATCGTCCTGCATATTATCTTTTTATTAAACACCATTAGATGCTCTACAACATAAAATAATATGCCAGAGAAAATATCCTAATAGTAGGTAATAGCTATCAAGTCAAAATGCCTACTTCACAACTACACACACACTCCCCGAAAGCCTCACACCAGTCCAATGTCTCTACGGTGCAGTGAAGTAGTGGGGCTCGGAAATACTTTTAACCTACCCACATCAACACTGTCTGTGAGGGGAAGACAGGCTGTACCAAGCTTAGGATCCCTAATTTTAAGACCAGAGCTCGATCTTCTAAACCACATGATCTCCAAAGTTCTATGAGCCACAGTGAATGTCAGACCTTAAAGAACACAAATTACTAGTTATTGGAATTTGGCACCTGTAGCAGACCTGTCCTATGACTAGGAAAAAAAAAAAAGCTCCATTGAACATCATTTGTGGCCAGCCAACACTAACCACATAGGTCATTCACGAGGCTGCAGTCCCTATAAGCAAAATGGAGCTCCGATTGGATGCCTTCTCAGACATCCCTTTGTTCATCATTGTGTGTAATCTAGTCACTAAGGGCAGGTGGCTCTAGAGTCAAGTACCAGCTCTGCTGCTTCCTAGCTATCATTTTGAGGAAATAATTTTGATCGGCCTCATTTTTCCCCTCTGCACAATTAATTATAGTACCTACTCATAGAATTGTTGTGAGGTTTTGATAAGAAAACATGTGGGAAACCCCAAGCACAGAGTGTGGCACATAGTGAGGGCTCAGTAATATTAGCCTTTGTTGTGTTAATTACATATCGATTACTTTGAGTCAGGCATGGTTCCAGATATTAGGAATACCAACAGCAAACCAGGCAGTGCTTCTCTCCAGGAGCTCATGATCTAACAAGGGGGAAGACAATTTAACACACCATTATGTGCTATGTGCCAGGTATAGGAGAGTGTGTAGAGGGGATCCTAACCCAGTTGTGGGTAGTCAAGGAAGGTTAGCTCGAGGAAACGCCTATTGATGCTAAAGGAAGAGAAAACACTGGCCAGCTGAGGAAAAGATAGAGAAAGTGTCCCAGACAGGAGTTCATGCAGAAAGGTCTATAAGGAGGTGGGCAGGAGTCCGACAGGGCCTGAGGGTGATACAGCGCAGCTGAGGTGCTTCAAAGCTAACCTCGTCTATCCAGGACAGAGACTATGTCCTCCACCCTCCTATGGCTCTGCACATGAACATGCTCAATACAGAATTGAAGACATGACACAAACCAAAGCCATCCAGTACCTACACTTGGCTGTCGCTTGCTACAAATAAGCCCTGAGAACCAGTGGAGTAACTACAAACAAGAAGGAGCCATACTTACTTTGCCTTCGGGAAGTCAAAATTCCCCCTATGAAGTTATCACTGAAGCTTTACAAATCATCATCTACAGTGACTCCAAGTCAGTTCCTACAGTGAAGACACTATACACTATTAGCTGCTCTTCGCCTCAGCCAGTTACGGGAGTGGTAGAGTGTGAAGCAATCCCATGAGCAGGAGGAGGAGGAAGCACGGTTCACTGGGAGGGGAGGAGGGGAGCTGGCCCAGGAACTCCAGAACCGAAGCTGGACTGCTGGAGCAGGGGGCTGAAATGAAGCGTGACTCCTGGTAGAACTGGAATAAAGGTGAGGGTCGGGGGTGCAGAGGCAGAAAACCAGGACACTAAGCAAGTTAGAGGTTCTGTATCCAGAAAGCCATGCTTAAAAAGATGTCCTGAATGGTCATCAAGACAAACAGGGAGGTAAATCAAAGTAGACAGAGGAACCGAAAAAGAAGAGGTCAGGAAGCTATGGCTGAAATCAAAGAAGCCACAAAACCTGAGAAGAAAATGCATCTTATGACTCCACCCCCCAAAAAAATACTAAAGTGAGTTTTAGCTAGGTTTTTTTATTTTTTAATCTTATTATGGCCTCCATTTCCAAAAACCTTAACAAAACCTGTTAAAAGAACTACTAAATTTGAATCGTTTTCTATAAACATTAAATCACACCTTAAATATTTTAAAGGCTTGTTCTAATGTTTTTAAATTTTTTTTTCAATTATAGTTGACATTCAATATTGTATTAGTTTCAAGTGTATAGTATAGTGATTAGACACTCATATAACTTATGAAATAATCCCCCTGATTACTCTAGTACCCACC